ACAGATGCAACAAGCAGCCCAACAAGCACAGCTTGCTGCTGCCTCAGCCAGTGCATCCAATCAGGCAGGATCCTCTCAGGATGAAGATGATGAAGATGATATCTGAAATTCACCAGCTGAGTTTCTGTCTCCACTAAGAAATATTTTTTTCCTGCACAATGAAAACAGTGAAATGAATGCTTACCTGTAATTTTGTATGCATCATGGACTGGCAATTGATATTCTAGGGGTGTCTGCTGTTTGTGCTGTACATGTATAAACTGTCTTTTTTGAACTCTTGAAGATTTAAGGTTCAGTATCATATCAACTTTGGATTTTTAATGGTGTATATGGAAATTTTAGATAGCAGTGCGTCATTTATTTGATCAATAAACAGTGTTACGATAAACAACAAGTTTATAAAATATAGTGAGATTTATACAAAAAGCTCTAAATCCGCATTTGCATTTCTTCCCTTTTAACTAAACTATAAAATCTTACTTAGAATTTTTAATTGTTTTTGGGGGGAGTGGTATAGTAGGCATAATCTGTTAGGGGGAAAAAAAGGCAGAGTTCAGTATTGTAGAGTCTGAATTCTTAGTTCTTTTTTTAAAATGAGGATGTAAATGGCAATAAATATTATATATGCTCAAATACCACACTTGTTACAAATTTGAAAATGATACATTTTCACCAAGCTAGGAAAAGGTATGTTTAATAGGAGTTGTACAAATTCAGTCATTTTTTGTATAGGGGTGAAAAAAGTAAACCCATGGTTTTATTATGACATCCATTTGAAAGTCCTAACTAGCTGAATATTTCATTTCAAAGACTGCCTGGTTTGGAGGACTAATTATTCTTATTATTTCACTCCAGTTTAATGTTAACTGTTGTTGATGGTATTTCTTGCGTAGTCCAGATATATTCATATTGTTGAAATGTAAAGCTGGAACCTGATGAAACAGAATTGTTTTAGTTTCACTGTGTTACTGGGAATGATTAAGTGTTCAAGCCTATGAAGGCAAAAGCTGAAGCTAAGAGCATGCTTACAGTAAAAGAGGGATTTTATTTAACCTTGATTAGTCATTGTTGTCAGCATAATGCTAACATTTTCCAGACTAGGTTGCCACCGGATTACTAAGATTCCTTGTTGAAAGATAGCATTTTCTTCATTCAAATTGGTTTATAGGTAAATCCAGGTTTTTGATAAACTATTCCCCAAGAGTGATCAGCAATACATGGAACAGAAGTGATGTAGTAGTCCTTTTGATAGTTGATTTGGAAATTTTGATTAATGGATGAGCAGCTGTTCTTTGTGTTGAAATAAAGCACAGTAGTGTCCATTACTGAGTTTTAATGTGTTACTTGAAGTAATATTGGCATATCTTCTGGTACACAAATCTGAGCAGAATAGAAAAGCCACTTGCATACTGCTGTAGATGATCCAGTAGCTGTATAACAATGTGGGTTGTTTTTTAACTTAGGTCCTCAGCAACTTGCTCTAATTGGAATCCTTGAGGAGGGCTACAGTAGTCTGTTTGCATGATGATGCAAGCAGAAAGTGATGTGCCCTTTTTTAGGTAAGATCTTTTAGGTAAGAACAAGGTACAATTGGTACGTTCTTAGATCTCAGTCATGTAGTGACTGTTGATTTAAATTTGAGATGCATTAAGTTAAATATTGAATAAATGTGAACGCTTCCTTAAATGCATTCATGCAGCGAAAACTCACAAAAAAAAAGTTAAATATTTCAAGTTTAAAAAAAAAATCATGGATACTACATGAAATATGTTAGGAAAGATCTGACTAAGGAAGTGGTTTTCTGTAAAGGTTTAAGTACCAAGGATAGAAAATCTAGTCTAGTGATACAATGTTAATGTGCAGTGTTGGCTTTTCTAATTTGTACTGTAACACCTTCACACTTTCTGTTTTGAGTCTTTTCTTTTTAAATAAACAATATTAGATATACTTTCACGCTGCTTTTTTTTTTTTTTTTTCCTGATGCAGAATTCAGGTTAACATTTTAACTGCATCTGGTATGTATGGTGTAATATGTTTGGATCCTTGTGACCTTTCTTTTGGACATTCTTGTGCTTTTTTCATATGCTGTATTCTTCAAGCAATAAACTTCTGATGTGTTTTTATAAAATTGCTTTTTATATTTAATGAATAGTCTGTCTTCATTGCATATATAGTTTTGTAAAGAAAAACTTTAAGACTAAAATCTGCTGTCATTTTGACCTGCTGTAAATGTTTCTAGCAACCAAACCTGAGTGTTTTTGGATGGCATTGATGTTCACTAGGGTTTTTATATATTTGCAAACAGTATTTCTGGGCTTGTCATGTTCTTTATTCTTTGGAAGTGCCTTTTGCTTATATAACTTTTTTTTTTCTCCCTCCTTAACTGAACTTTTTAATCTGATTATCTTAACCCCCTAAGGTCAGATGCAGCCTACCATTAAAACTGGATTTTTTTTAAGGTGAAAGATCACAGGCAGAGACTGGGGACAGGATAATGGGTGTAAGTTGAAACACAGGAAGTTTCACCTCCATGTGAGGAAAAACTTCTTGATCGTGAGGGTGACAGAGCCCTGGCACAGGCTGCCCAGAGAGGTTGTGGAGTCTCCTTCTCTGGACACCTTCAAAACCCGCCTGGGTGCCACCCTGTGCCACGTGCTCTGGGTGTCCCTGCTGGAGCAGGGGGTTGGACTAGATGACCTCTAAAGGTCCTTTCCAACCTCAACCATTCCGGGATTCTGTGAAATAATTTGTTTTTGCTACACAAGTACTTTTAAAGGAAGTATCTTAAAGATTCTAAATATCAACTACCTAAAATAGCTTTTTATTTTTTTTAAACTTACACATGTTTACTTGCAATATTGAAACAGTAAAAGAGAACTTCTGCAAGAATGGCGAAAGGTCTCTGAAAGTCACAGTTGTTTTTTTTTTGTTTTTTTTTTTTTTTTTTTTGGGGTAAAAGCATCTCCATGAAGGAAGATCTCGTATAATAATACCTGTGCTGATTTCCTCATAATTTTGGAATTAGGGACACAAAATTACTTGATGCTGACTGTGGACCAGCAAAACTCCATTACATCTAACCTGAAGCACACTTTATTCAGTAATCTTTGAAATGTATGTCTGTATTTAGTTATAGAAAGTTGCATTACGTTGGATTGTGTTTAGGTATAAAAGATGTACAGAACAATGTAAAAGGGCTGTAATATGAACAGTGCTCACAAATGATGTGGTTAGACTGGCCAATTAGCAATAGATTTACTTTCAGTGTTGTACTACAAATGTCTCTAAAATGAAAAACTCTTATTTTGCAGCCCACTGAGTGGGATGCCTGCCAGTGTTAAGACGGATTTTGCCATGGATAAATTACTTTCTAGTTCTTGCTTGCTGTAAGTCTTTCTCAGTATGTATGTTCTGTTAGTAGAGTAAAAATTGAGTATGTCTGGTATGACGAAAAGTAGGATCACTGAACCTTCATTGTAGGCCTTTTAACATTTGTAGTCAAGGAATGATAGGTTCATCTTCAAAAAGTGCTTTTTGCACTCAGTAATTCTTAAAAAAGAAAAAAAAAGAAAAAAGAAAAAACATGCTTTTCTGTTTTCAATTCCAAATCAAAACAGCTATGGAAATGAGATTAATTTTGTTGAGCGTTTAATGTTGGCATTGGAAGGAGTTATTGCGGGTCTTGGGTACCTGTCACAACAAGTGCCCTACAACTGGCGCTGCTGGAAAGAAACGAATCCCGGGCACGGCGGCATTGGAGACGCTTCCGTTTGGTGGTGCTCTGCCATACTGCGACTGATGTGATACTTGAAGTGGAGGTTTGACAGCAAAAGGGCAGTCAATCCGATGGCATATGCCAGCTCCTAGGCTTGAATCATACCTTCAACAGTATTTGGATTTTGCCATATGGGTGAGTCTTGTAGAAACTTGAATAATCTGAGCTACAAACATGTACAAATGGTGGTTCTGCATGTTTCGGAGGAGATATTTGATTATTTTAACTCTTCATGGAAGTGATTTATTGTTATGTCTATTACAGGAGTACAACAAAGAGACTTTTGTCACACAACCTGAAGTGAAGGTACAAGTAAGGATTAACACTACTGGTAGTTTGTTTGTTAGATGTTCTGAGTTTATACTTTGCGTTTTTGGGATTAAGATTTATGTTTTAAGAGGTGTGCTAAGTTTTAAGGCTGAATGTGTGGTTGATTTTCATAGTACTTATTTATTTTTCTTAGAAGGTAAGTGGTGAGTGATAGAGTGACTGACTTCTATATCCCTTCTCTCCAAAGGTGGAAGAATCTCTCCTTGGAAAGGGCCAGGCTGGGGTTTCTCTCCTCCCCTGCCCCTGCCAAGGTTGGTTCATGCTGCTGGAGCACGAAGCATTTCAGCAGGCTTATTTCATGATTTTTACTATTATTCAATACTGTTACTAGTCAGTAATTGTAGAGCTTTATATCTTCAAAGCATTTTACAAGCATTATTTAGGTTTAGGCAATGTTACACTGCCTGGTATTAATAAAGCTGGTATTTAAACAGCCTATGCAGTGCTTTGAAGTTAACACTTTCACATGCTGCAGAACTAAAAGGTGGTGCACTGTGTAGAGGAACAAGATGTTATCTTCGTGTCAGACTGTGTAAGGGTGACTCATCCAGAGTGCAAGTAACTGGAAAAACAAACACCTTGTTATAAAAGTCGTCATCTGAGATGAAAGCATTTATTTGCAGTAGCACAGTGCTCAGGATCCTGGATTATGGGCTGGGGCTTAGTTTGATTAATGTCGTGTTCAAGTTTAACTACTGTCTGTAGAGTGAAAAGCCACAGCTGAATTAGAATTCAAATTAAATGTTCTTTATTTCATGTACAGCTTCGGATTTTTCTCATTTGGGTGAAAGTATAATCTATGGAAGAGAATAAATCACAGCAGTATTAGTGACACAAAAAATACCAATCTTCTGAGGTGAGGACAAGCTAGGCACAAACTATGCGACTATAGTCAGTCTGATATTTAATGAGGTAAAATAAATACCTCAGGAGTATTCTATAGGAGTTGTTTGGTGCTTGTGTGTTTTTAGACACTAGAGAAGTCGCAATGCAAAAATAGGAAATAAGAGTTAGTTAGCTCTCACGGAAGAAGGTACAGTGAGATGAGCTCCACAAGTATTTCTCGTACCTTGGTATTTTTTTTTTTCCAAAGTTAATCGTGCGGTGATTGTAGTACAGTGGAAAGTTAGTTTTAGTAGACTTTAGTCCTTTTGCAGTTTTGATGGTTTAGGATTTAAAAGGAAAAAATATCAGGGGTTACCTGGAGTTGGCTGGGAGCTTGGAGGTGATCAGTGATGGCACAAGCGGTTCCTGCCCGACCTCTTCTCTGCCGCCTCAGCTGGGCAGCCTGTCTCTGAGACGTGAGTCCAGCACGACATCTGCCAGGCTGGTGACAGCATCTCTGCTGGCCTCAGGCTCTGCTCTAGAGGTTGAATTGTGGCACAGTCAGTTGCCAACATGTTTATTCCCCATACAGTAGGAATATGCAGGGCCACATACATGGTCCATTTAGCAGATTTTAAAGCCAAATTTATATGGATAACCTATCAAAGCCAACAGGGCCTGAAATTAAGATCTATTCCTATGTCTTATTTTAGGATTTGATTTTTATACTGTCTCCCTTTACTCCCCTAGAATCTTCCCATGGAAGAGAAAGACGTACTGCATAGCATGTTAAAAGGATTCAATTCTATTAGTTGCTTTCTTTGAGGTACCTCACTTTCCAGAAATCTGGCAAACAAGAAGATCTGGATTTAAG